AATTTTATTAAAAGAAATAAAGTAACAAGGACATGGTGATGAATTGGTAATAATTCCAGATGTATAATTACATCAGTGTGCATTTGGATGGTCAAAAACTGTTTTGAAGCTGAGGGTGGCATTTGAAGATCGGCTGCTGCATTACTGTACATGGAAATACACTTCTTTGTAGTTGGTTTTTTTTGGTTTTGTTTTTTGTAGTTCATCTAGGGTGTTAGATAGTTGGAGAATCCTAGCAAATTAAGTTTTGAATAAAAATGCCATCAGTTCTTTTCCTGTTGCATTGCTCACTTGAAAACAGTGCAAGTTGTTTTGAGAGAGAGGAAAAGGAATTTTTCTTCTCAATCTATGAGAGTTGAAATGAGCTGAAATGCACAAGGCATTTTCTTGGTTCTCAAAACCTGTGTAGAAGACCCTTGGAGTACTTGAAAAGAAACAAAGAGACACAGAACTAACTGAAAAGTTTATTGTGTTAGGGTACTTGATCGCCTCTCTGGAGTGCTCTCACACTATTTAAATTTTTTGTTTTGTTTTCTCAGTCTCTAGTGGTGTTTCGCACTTTATTTCTCTGAAATTTATGGCTTGGCTGTTGTTAGCTTGTTGTGATCTTGGTATTCTTTCTTTGCTATTCATTTTCAGCCTATTTTTTTTTCTACCAGTTTCCTATCTGTTGATACAGTAAATAATCAAAATCTGCTACAGTTTACTTTTTATATTTATTAGTCTTTCCTTAAAAAAAACACACCACAAATGATGACTGTAGTTTAAACATCCCATTTTCACAGTATAAATGAGAATCAGTTTATGGCTGTCTTTAGAGAAACCTGAAATCACGTGGACACTACAAGTTTCCCTTCGTCTTGATATCAGCAGTCAATAAAGTAAACAGGCCGTCAGCATAGTTAACACAGGTTTTGAAGCAGTGACAAAGTGCTGAGGCTGCCTGCTGAAAAGCTACCGTTATGAGAGCTACGCTATTATTGAAGTGGTGGACAATTCTTTTGGAAAAATGCCCAGGAGCAGACAGAGCTTTTATGTTGTCTGGATGTTCTTCATTATTAAAGAGGAGATCAGATGATCCCTAAAGGTGCCTTCTTGACATGCACTCTCTTTGTGTTGTAAAGATGATCCTAGTTTTAAAATCACAAACGTGATCTTACTTCAGCTGTTATGACTGCAACTTCCTCTCTTCTTTTTCTTTTGCAGGAGCTGACAAGTGCTTTGATGCATGTGAAACTACACCTTTTTGTCCAGATTTTTACACTTGTGTTCTTCCCAACAGCAATATGGCTCTTTCTTCAGCTATTATCAATCACACCTATAAATGAATGGCTTTTAAAAGGGTATGTTTAAGCATAATGGAGTGAAATATATTTGTAGCTGTCTTCTTAAAGGGCTGCTTGTCCTGCAATGGGTGTTTTGAGACTTGTATTGTGAACAGATCTTTTGTTATTTTTGTGCTTCAGCACTTTGCTGTCGAAAACACAGTACATGCATGAGATTATCCTTTCAGGAACCTGCTCTCATTTGGAGAAAGTCTGGTCAGTTATTTTCATATGTAGGGAGCTTGCAACAGGTTAGCTTTCTCTTCCACAAAACACAGCTGAAGTGCTGTGCTGGGTCTCGAGGAGGAGGAACGAAAAGGAATGCTGAAGGAATAAGCTGTTGAATAAATACTGTGTATGCCACGTACTGATGTTCCATTCTGTTTTTAAACAGTCTGTATTGGAAAAAAGAAAAAAAGAGAATAAAGTTTTTGTAGGAGGAGAACTTTGAGGTTAGCAGAAGCTAAATTACCATGAAAACAATGTGTTTTAAATCTTTGATGTACTCTGCCAATGTGCGTTTCCAAAGCAGCGTTAATGGTGCAGTAGTAATAGATGTTACGAAAAATCAAAAAAATAAAAAGCTTTTTACAGAATCAAAGGTAAATCCGTAGCACCGTGCAGCTATACTGGAATGTTTGAATGCAAAAATGAATTATTTTGGAAAACTGCTTAAAGAATCCCCAGTGTTTCTTACTGCTTGGTGAAACATTGCTTGGAGAGAGTTCCCTGTCTTGAAAGTTTAATGATAAAGCTGCTCATGTTTATGTTTCTACAAGGCCTAAACCTAAAAGAGCATTTTGTTTTGTTTTTAAGAGGCTTCTCCAGGTGTTCCACCAAATGTGAAGTGGTCCAAATGACACTGAGAAGGTGAAATTGAGATGACATCATTTGAAAGTGTTAAGCACTGTTTTGCTTAACAGTATTAAAACATCAAGGATGTAACAAGGTTGCTCTATAATGTCCATTTGGATTTGCTATTCATAGTAAAGGTTATTTTTTGAAGTGAAATCATTGTGAAGTTTTTCGTCAGCTAGAACAGAGACATGATTTTCCACAATGAGCCAAAATTTCCTCCCAATCCATGGGAGTCTTGGTTTCTGAAGTGCAAGGTGCAAGAGATTTTTATGGATTTTGTTCCGCTCATCCCTTCTTTCCTATGACTAATGTCACTTTGGTTCTTAGTATTTAAGGAACATGATCTGTTACGTGCACAAATATTTGTGTATGTATATACATACATACCTGTGAAACTGCATGTAAAACCACATATGTATGGGGTTTTTTTTTTTTTTTGAAAGAAACACTTGTATGTGTGGCTTCCTAAATGTGGAGCCTAAACCAGCCTAATTTTTTATGAAGGTGTGTCTGTTTTACCAGTTAGCTAGTATACTTCCATGTGTTTCAAGATGCCTTGCAAGCACTTGTTCCTTGAGTACTATTTCTGTTTTGGCTGTGTTTTATCTTTTAGTACAGTGACTCTGTTGTATTGAGACTTCATTCAAAGAATGGTCAGATTGAGGAGTTTAATGAAAGTGGTTTTGGGTTTGTTTTTGTTTGGTTGTTTTTTGAAAAAATGGTTTCTTGATAAATACTGCTGTTCAGGACATGCTCAGAGCAGCAGCCATTGTGTGCCTCTGATGGCATCCACTGCGAAGGGAGCCAGATGGGAGCTGTACTTCTGGTGTTGTGCAGGTGCAGAAGATACTGAGCTCTGTCCTAATTCTAGGATAACACATTTTAAAGCAGGTACTTGCGTGTCCCTATATGGGTATGTTAAAGAAGAGTGAGGAGCTGATGTGAGGAACTGCCTGTGCCTTCACTGCCCTGTGTAACCAGAAGTTCATCCTAGTGTCCCACAGCTGTAGTTTTTATTCTCTAGAAACACTAAAGTACCTTAATGAAAATGGGGGAAACAAGACAGGCTTTGGCAAAGTTACTTCCTCATCACACGTGTTTAGCACAGCTTGTAGTGGGAGCTAGTTGATAGTCCTCACAAAGGGCCTGGAAAAATAGGCATGTGCTCCCAAGGGCATGCAGCACCTTTTGGCAGGACGGCTTACCTGGGGACTGCAAGGTTATGCCTAAAGGGCAAGTCAAGCCCACAGTTAATTTCCCATCTTGCTTCAGAATGAATGGTAGATTCTGCCATACTCTTATAAAGATCTGTTTTGCTGTAAGTGTTATTTGAGAGACAGATTGAGAGGCAGATTCAGATGGTATCAGCTTTTAAACTGTGTTTCTAAGTTGTTTGGGGTTTCTACAGTTGTTTGGTGTCTGCCCCTGCCCCCCCCCCCCCCCACATATTAGAAGGTTTGTTGCTTTGTAATTATTTCAAAATATACAAAATAGAAGTGAAACTGACATCAGCCCAAGTATCTTTGAAGTTAATTTTTTGTTAGCTGACTAGATTTAGCACTGACAGCACCCATTTGAAAAGGAACATGAAGCAGGTTATTGCACAGATTCACCTCTTCTGCAACTGTTAACATATAGCATTTACAGCGCAGGTGATAAGGCACGAGATGCAAAGATCTGGTACAAGATACGGCTTTGGTAGTTCCATATCTAAAATATATGACTTTGGACCCTATTACAAGTGTTTGGACCCCTAATGTAAGTGCTTATAGTATGGGCTGAACCAGTGGAACACTGCAGTTTGTTGTTTGTTATCTGTAGTAATCTGTTGGCCATTAGAGGAATTTGTTTGTATATTGGTAGCATTGTGTGTAGTTGATACAAAGCAAGAAAAAAAGTTCACAGGTGCATGTTTCAATACACCTGATTAAAAGTATTTCCATTTAGTGTGTACCAGTTTTTTGTGGATGAATATTTTCATATGAAGAATATTTAAAACCATAGCTTGATAGTGATTTTTTAATTATTATTCCAAATGTATTTATTTTAAATTTGAGAAGGTTAACAGAGATTGTTATTAAACCTTTCCCTTATAGTGTGGAAAATACCTGCCAGCTGAGATGAATGCCCTTGCACACATTTCATTCTTCTCTGGATAACTTTGAACTTAATCCACCCCTTATTAGTGCAGGTGAGAAGTTCAAGGAACTGGCTGCCGAGAGACCACATAGAAGAGAGATAACAGTATCACAGCTGATGTAGGGGATGGACATCAGACTCGCTATGTGTTTGTCTCCTGTATATTTTTGTATATGTTTCTAAACTTTTCAGCACCATTTCTTTTTCCTGTATTTCTGTTCTTTCCAATATGAGCTTATCCTCCTAAGTGCTGAGAACTCTGCTTCCATAGCTTATTTCACTGTAAGCTAGAGGTACTATATACTTCCAAGATGGTACTTGATACTTTGTGATTTGATTTATATAATGTTGACATTGGTTGCCTCTTTCCTTTTCCACAGTGTCTGTAGCTGACAAGCTGAATACTGTCATTGTATTTTACCTGTTTCTTCTATTTAAGCTTTTTGTATATTTGCAGCATATCAGTTCCACTGTAATATTCTCCCTGTGGTTTGGATTTAATACTTCTGTTTGCTACAGCTTTTTGAAACCGTTTCTTGGGGATGGACTAATACAGTTACAAGTGTGAAGTAGTTCACCGCTAGTAATTGATCGTTCTGAACTAGAATACTGTCTCAAACTCCAATACTTGAAAACATATGTAGATTCCATGCTTTTGGGGGGCTTGCAGACTGTTTTATTCCATGCCTTACTGTTCCTTCTAAGTCAACACAGTTTTTCTTCATAAGCCCTATTTTACTTAGCCCCAAATTTAGTTGTAATCTATTGTGGTATGTTATTGTTGTTTCTAAATACTTTTTTTGATACAACTAATTTTTGTAATAACCAATTTTTGTGGACTGCCTTTGAAAACAAAGGAAAGCTCACCACTTTTTTTCTTAGTTTGCAACAGCATTTACTATATACATCGATAATTTTGCTGCACAAGCAATGGAAAAAATGACAGATGATAACAATAATAGTGTATTTTAGACTTCTAAAATGCAGGAGAAAGCTTTTGATGTTTTGGTTGTTGGAAGTCAGGTGATTTTACCAAGAAGTGAAAATATGCATAAAAATTAAACATTTGATGGACTTTTAATGTTCAGGAAATAAAAACCTTAATTGTGATTTTTTTTTTATTATTATTTTTTTTGTAGGCGTTGATGAAAAACAGTGTAGTGGGATCCTGAAATAGCGAGCATGGTTCTTCTTACTCTTATACATAGCAGTAAATGTTTTTACCCTGAACAGCTTTTTCAAGAAAATAGGAGTTTACATTCTTATTTTCTTTTTTTTTTTTCCCAAATAGCTACAGGTATCTCAAAACACACTACAAACTTTACTGATGCAGTTATGTGTGACAGATATATAGATGTCTTTGTGAATGGTAGATACAGTACTGCAGATGGGGAAATGGACTCACAGAGAGATTAAGTGTTTGGGTTTAAGTGTGGATGTGAGTCTTCACTGTGGTGGTTGATAAGAGATGTAGTAGAAATCCTGCCAGCTGGTGCAAGGCTGTAACTAATGCAAACTGGGTTGCACAGGTGGTATGATGGTTGTTTTTACTCAGCTATTTGGTATTTTAAGGTTTTAGGTTGCACAGTGTTTGCATCATGTGAGGAATGTAACATTTCTTTTTGTTGTTTTCAGCTTGCAGACAGTAGGCTGCATGCCACCTCCTGTGTCTTCTGCAGTAATTTTAACCAAAGCTGTTGGTGGAAATGAGGTGAGTTTTCATTTTACTTTTGAGTGCTTTTTTAAAACAGAAGTTCAAACAAATATTTATGAGGAATTTATGTGGCAAAACACTGACTGCAGTGTGATGCTATTGTGGTTTTTAAAAAATTCTAGAATTAAAGCTTGGGTATTGTGTTGGTGTCAAACAAGGGAAATAGTGATACATTATCTGCTGCCGTTGGTCAAACCGAAGGAAGCTCAGTTTTCTGAGGTGATAGAGAGGTTTCTGATAGGAATTTGTTTTAGGAGATTTCTGCTTATTACTGCACTGTCATTCCTAGCCATATAACGTTTGTACACTGTGTACTGGTTATCTCATAGACTATTAGCTTTGTGGTGAAGATCTGCCCTTGCAGTGATTGTTTGGATGGTGTGCAGGACAACAGGTACTTAGGCCCAGCCACCATGGGTTCATGAAGGGCAGGTACTGCTTGACCAACCTGATCTCCTTCTATGAC